AGAGAGAGAGATAGAGAGAGAGAGAGAGAGAGAGAGAGAGAGAGAGAGAGAGAGAGAGAGGAATATGATAGATGAAGCTATAATAGGACGGGAATATTCAACTTGCCACGTGTGTTCGAGGGAAACTGTCAAAATTTAATAGAAATCATCGATTTACCCCTTTTCAGCATATCTCTGTCTCCTTCTCGCGGCATCGATATTGAGACACTTAAAAAATGAAAAACACCGATATCTTTCAAAATTCAATCGAAATCATTGATTCACCCCTATTTCCAGTCCATTTCCTTTCCCTCGCGGCATCGATGTCGAGATATCGAGTGACACTTGAAAAAAACGAAAAGCACCACCGGTATCTTTGCCAGTATCTGAATATCCGACACGATCGTCGCTTTATATTTCCGTATCTCTCGACCTGCTCCCCTTTTTTCGCGCGAGAAAGTTCTCCCTTAACTCGGCACGCGGAAGTTGCCGAGCGGTCGAATAAGTTTTGTATCGCGCCGCGATGAATATGAATAGAATAGGCACGAAGAAACGCCGAGACTAGTTGGGAGCGGGGTTTACACCAGCCTCTCTCTCCGTTTTTCGCGCGCCGGGTGCAAACTACTACTGGTCCGTTGATTTCTGCATTCTCTCGTTATTATGTGTGTCTACGAATGCTCGATCGTAATTTATTGTGTGCTCCGGCCTCAATTTTCAGCTCTTCTTTCGATCCCGCCGCGAATTTAACTCCGACGGTAGCACACTCGTTTTGTGCTTGAGTAATAAAAAATCGATTTGAATTTTATTCAATTACTCATCGCGAAAGGTTGTAATCACTATTTTTCATTTCGTTTTGTTTTTTTATACATGACTATTCTCCACAGATTTCCATATTATTGTACATTATTTTAGCTATTTCACTATTATTACATATTTGATATATTTTATAATATATATTTCCCTGAGATTTATGATATATTTCATAGTGTATACAAAATGTATTGTGTATATAATATATTTTATAATATATATTTGAGAAAAATATATCTTGAAAGAGAATAAATTAAAAGAAAATTACCACCAACATATCCGAGGAACTCGCTTGACGTTGCTGTCGAGATTACAGACGCATCGTGATTAATTTATCATCGCCGACCGCGACGACAGTAATCGCGCGGGCTTCGCCGTCGGACACCCCGCGGGCGTCGTTGCCCCGTGACTTTCCAGCTCGGTGAGAAGAGCGACCGTTTCGGGACAGCAACGGCTAAAATAGTCCGCGTCGGCCGCGGGCGCAGAAATCGGAAATGTGTTCAGGGGGTCCCTTAAAAATCATCGTCCGTCGCCCGCGGCCGTCAGCGTGGCCGGCCGCAAAACAATAAACGCGCCCTCGTCCTTCCCGGTAATCTCGACATCGATAATTTCGCATAAGCGCGTGGGAGAATCCGCCGGCGTGGTTCGAGCGCTCAGGGCCAGAAGTCGCGGCGGGCCAGGGCGATGTGCGAAAAAGAGAATCGTAATTTTCTCGAACCCAGCTACACGGTCGCGCCCCGCGGCGGCCCGCTTGGAACGACCCACCGGCACTCTTCTTTCTCCACCTCTTCTTTCCTATCTACTTACCTACCTACCTACCAACCAATCTCTACCTACTCGCCTGCCTCTGGTTCCTCGTATTTACCGTGGTACAACGCAACAAGGGAGCGTAGCGTGGCTCCATTGATGCACGAAAGCCCGTGTTCCGCGCGTAATTTCGTCGGACTGCAAATCTGACTTGTAGATACTCGTGGGACAAGTGGCACGACCAAGACCGCGACATGCAACACTTGTCCCGTGGTGAAGCGAAAAGCGTGTAACATACTGAGCGAGCAAATCGGACCGGAGCAAAAATCGATTCGTTATGGCGCGACGTGTAGCACAGGTCCCGTTTGTTCTGCGAGACATTTTCCGCGAGATCCTCATCGCGCGCGTGTAATCTCGTGTATCTTTGACGGCGTTATCTCGACGGAAAAGTTGGCGAGATACGAGAGGGACTCAAGTGTCCGTAATTAACGTTTAACGCTTCAACAATTATACATTTTGCCGTATATCTGGGGATACGTGGGCACACAATGCAGCCGGGTTGCACGGCTGGCCGAAAGCCGTGATATCGCAAAGGGCTATTTCGGGATTGAACAGGGAGTTTTCGCGTACACATACGTACGTACTTCGACTTACGTATCGAGCGAAACAGCTAGAACAAGCAAACCGAGCAATTAAACGCCGCTGCATGCGGTTCTTATTCTGTTATTCGTGCCGAAAAACTCGCCGCGGATTTCGTGCACAATGCAGCCGGTCGTGCATGGGAATTGTATGCAGGTGTGGCTGTGTTGTGTGTCTGTATGTGTGCGCGCTCGTGTACTGTGTGTAAAATAGTCGCGTGGCGAGGTGGAAGGTGCCGCTTTGAGACAGAGCGAAATGGGCTCGTATATCACAAAAGCAACTCGCAACCTTGTTACGTAAGTCGCACGCGGCGTCGGAAAATATGGTAATGAATTTCTCGTATATATTTGCGTTTAACTGCTCTTACCCTGCTGCAACAAACCATTAACGCGGCGTATGCATTAAGTAACCGAGTTCCCCGAATTTTCCACTCTGCTTCCCGCCACTCGTCCCTCGGCAAAGGGACTCCTTGTACGTATGAAGTGGCAATTATTTTTGAGATACGGCGCAACGCGCCTGTCCTCGACGCAGGAGAGAAAAAGAGAGACAGAGAGAGAGAGAGAGAGAGAGAGAGAGAGAGAGAGAGAGAGAGAGAGAGAGAGAGA